CAATCTCTTGTCTATCTCCCCATTGAAACGAAACTGACAGTCATCTCGACTGAATTATGACGACTGTTTGGTGTCTAGCTGTCAAAAGTGATAACATTTTCAGAAATTATAATTTGTTTGCTCGATGGTGAAAATATCGCTGTATCAATCACTAACTGGAACTGACACGCGTTGTTTACAGTACTTAATATTTTTCTTGTTGTTATTGGTATGTCCAAGTGCTCTACTGTTTTTAGATGCGTCTCGAATCATGATTTATGTATTCCTTCTTCTATATCTCTGTTTGTCTGTCCGCAAATAACAGCGTCCGCCCAAATTACGAGTCCGATATGGATGAAACTCGGTTTTGTAGATTTAAGTTAAACACTATCCAAGCTGTTTTGACAATTCTCCTTTCCTTTGGTTTATTATCGTCTTTCGAGGCCCTTTTATAGACTATGATTCAGTTTCATATAAAACACTTCTGTTATGTGAGTACAAGTATCACTCATTTTAATTTATTAAAAAACAAAATCTAAGTAATTAAATACGATTTTGGGCTCACCTTCTTAAGTACTCTCCAGTTCTTGACGTGTGATTGAGTTTCATTGACAGCAGTAAGTGAAAGTTACACATCGTCTTTTTTCTCTTGAATTCTATTTCCAGACTGTCTTCTGTCTTATGAATATAAAAATTGTCATCCTTTCAAAATATTATTATCAGCGTAGCTTATAAATCTTATTCGCATCAAAAATTTGGTTGAATTTAAATGTTGTAAATGGTCTTATGTAATGATACAAAATATTAGACATATGTAAAGAAGAGTAGAAAGGTATTTTACAAAGGGCTGTAGAAATATATTATTTCTGTTTTGAATGTTTAGTTGTATTTTATGTTCGTTTATTACAATTTAGAAACGAATCGAAATGCGGCATATCATATAGGACTGAGTAAAATTAATTTCATTCTGTGCCCATAAATATTCTAGATACCTATCAACATATACTTTGCGCTGTTTTAAAACGTCAGTAGATTCACACTGTGCAAAGAACCTTTTAACATATCACTTAATTATGAGATGATAAAGTTGCGTCATATTGTGATAAATATATATTTGTTTAAATCTTGTCAGTCTAATCACAATAAAATTCCTATTAAATATTAAAATATTACTATAATTAACATTTAAATATTCACTTTTTACAGTGATGATCTAATGTAAATCGAACATTTCGATAGAGAACATCATTTAATATATTTTAAATATTTAAATGTTAATTATAGTAATATTTTAATATTTAATAGGAATTTTATTGTGATTAGACTGACAAGATTTAAACAAATATATCACTTAATTGTTGATGTTTTTATAAAAACTTGCACCAACATTTGAGATTAAGTGATATTTCCAGGATTTGAAGGGATCAAAGTACAAATGTTAAATTTCAACAGAAATATTTACAAATCGGCCACCTTGTAACAATTTGTCATCTCCTTACTATGACTTACCTTGTTCTTAAATTATTTTACAAGGACATTTAAATATCCGCTCTGTAGGACTATGCGACTTGAGAATTTGAAAGGACAAGATATTTTAATAGAAAGAATTTATTACACCAAGACTGAAATTTTGGTGGATTCTTCAATTGACCAATGAAAATGCTACGATGATTTCTTCAGATAACCACCGGCGTTTCATTCAAATTCATTATTTACAATCTTCCTACTTTTCGGACGCAATCTGTGTAGATGGAAAAGTGCCGTTAAACATCCAACGAATCAAAACACGTGGACTTGGTTGAGAGTGTAGAACCTGATCCGCTGGCAGTGCGACACCTTTCCCAGAAAAGGTCCTCTAGACCTCAACTCAGAAACAGAAGTGTTTGCTTACCTGTCATCACGTCACGTGTCTTCTGGATAAACATTGAGAAAGTTTATGACAAGGAACAATTATTTTGTAAACCAAATATGAGCGAAGAGCATATTGTGTGTGTGCCTGTTTGTGTTTCGACATGAAGAAGATTGATTCTTCGGTTATTTAACGACGTTTCTTAACTACATCGATAGTGTGCGTCTAATGCTTTGATGATTACGAATGACGTATTGGAAATAATTTAGAATGATTCTATTTCGGTCTCTGTTATACTGAGGAAAGCCACTGAGGCTGGAAACCTGGCATTACGAATAATATGTTTCTCTAATATTGATAGAATAATTAATCAAAAGATGAAATGAACAGTAACCTGTAATTTACTAGTAAATTTTCTTTAGCACAATTGGGAGCAGCCACGGTGGTCTAGCGGTTAAAACGCTGGCCTTGTAATCCTGGGGTCTCGGGTTCGATTCCCGGCGGTGACCGAATTTATAACTTGTGTTGGGCAAGGCCGTGGTCTAGGCAACACGGAGTTTTCCTCCGGGGGCTTCCCCGGTTTCTCCGTGGCATCCCAACAATTACTCCATTCACACACAGAAGAAGGCAATGGCAAACCACTTCTGGATCATCTGCCAAGAACGTATATGAACAGGTCTCAGTCCGAGAAAAAGATGGAAGGATCCTGTTCATATGGACCTGTCGTCAGACAGAACACTAAATAAATAAATAAAATACAATTGGGCACATTAAGATATTGTTTTAAAATTGCCACCAGTCGTTAGAATAAAATATTGGCCTGGCCCACTGAAACACAAGGCGGCCGGGCTAATTAAAACATTTTTTAAAAAAATTTGGTAAAATATTCATGTCCGTAACACTAGACATGAGAGGGTAAACACAAAAAGATCAAAAGAGAAGTTTCCGGAAGTATTAATACAAATAAGTTTCATGTTTGAATATTGACAGTTACTTTGTTTTTCTGGAAACCTATTACAAAATCAAAGTCGAATCTTAAAATCGATAGCGTTATTTCCCTTTAAAAATCCATTACTAAATGAAGATCGCGTCTTATAATCTGTGGCGTCTTAAAATCGAGGAAATACGGTAATAACTTTTTCCTAAAAATAATAAATTTACAAATAAACATCTGGATTGTAACATGCAGACATTATTTACCTCTTTCTTAAACTGAATAGATGAGGAATGTATGCATAAGCTTAGGAGGAAACTTGAAGTGAAGTTCTGAGCATACGTGAAGTACACTCATAGTTTAAACACGTGTCTTTGCAGATATAGGAGGAACAGATGTGGACGATGCACTTGGCTCTGGGGAGCGACCAGTGACTGATTCCGGCGAATACGAAAATGAATCTTTCAGTCCATAAAAGACGTGAAATTTTTTGTACTAGCTGAGCAACTATTAATTTTTCAAAATCGATTCTTCTCCATAGATTTACTTGGTTTATATAGTTTAGTTTTTCTTCTGAGTAAAGAGTAGAGATTGAGGATGTTTGAGGAAGGAATGCTTAGGAGAATATTTTGCCTTAAGAAAAAGGAAGTACTCCGGGAATGGAGACAATTACGTAGTAATAATTTTCATAAAATATTATTAGGATGATCAACTCAAGAAGAATGAGATTGGCTATGAGAAACTTGTAAAATATTTTAGACGAAAAACCTGAAGACAAAATACCACAACGTAGAGGTGGGCTCAGATAGGAGAATTACATCAAAATGCCTTAAATAATGCGGTATATGGATGTGGAACAGATGATATTTGCTCAAGATTTTATCCAATTCCAGGCTTTTGTGAACACAGTAATGAGTCTTCTTGTCAGGGTGATTTAAGTCGAGAAGAATGAGATGGGCGGGGCATGTAGCTCGCATGGATAGGATAAGAGTTGTGCACCGGGTATTGGTTGGGAAGTCTAA